AATTGTCGCGGCTCGATATGTCTAGAGTTTATAACCGCACCGGTCATAACGCGATTGGCGAAAGCGGCGTCGATCTCGCGCCATACGAGAGATCTATCGTCCTCACTCACGCCATGGCCTACGTGCACGAATCTACGTTCCAACACTGTTCGCGCACCCTCGAGTCGCGCGATCCTCGCCACCGCGGATTGTCTGTGCCCGACGGTGAGACGCGGACGCTTGGCGCAACACTCTAGGCTCTCGATGCACTCTTTGCATCTCTCCAGCCACGCGAGACACTCGCCCAATGTAGCTACGCGACCGCACTGTTCTAACAGTTCGCGTTCTAAACGCTCGTAGTCTTCCATTTTAGAAACAAGATAGTTATTCGGAGCACTTGCACGCACGTTTCTTGCACGTTTTGCAATATCGTTCGGCTATTACAATGTCAAAGAGTTCCAGTACCTTGCCATTATGCATGCTAGCTGCCCAACACTTATCGCATTCACAGTAACATTCATCACTACCGCACTTGTCACGAAGTAGTTTACCAGGATTTCTATCATGATTTACAAGGGGTATAGTCCCTATCCTCGTCACTTCGGCTCTTGTACCACTATAAGTGTCTATTGCGATGTTACCGAACGTATCCTCGAGTTCCGCCTCGAGTTCTTCATCGAATTCCCCGCCTCTCGCAAACGATATACAATAATCGTAAATGGGGAACGTGGTCACGTTTACGTTTCGCACGACGCGATCCCCGTGAACCTCTCGGTCGCGCAGTACCCGCACCGGCGATGTCCGCGCACTACAGTCCGGTGGATTTTCAAGCACGTCTTCCACGAGTTCGTTAAATTCTTGCTCACACAAATTGTTCATCACTCCCCTTTACGCTGTGCAGACAGGGCAGCACGGGAACACCAGACACATCAGATTCCGGCAATTGGAGCACGTTCCAGCGCTGAGTACCTCGATGAAATCGGTGTCGTGCTTTCGGATCATCGAACCGACTTCAGCATCGGCGATGTTGACCATGCATTCTGCACACAGGGCTAGCGCTCCGCCGTGTAGCACTGGATCGTTTCACGCGAAAAATACCCAGTGCCCGGATTTGCGCGTCCGGGATAACTTTTCGCACACGATCGTTCTCAAGATCGCTGGCGCATCCGGTATCGACGGATAACACGCGGAAGACTCGACGTCTATAACGTCTTCGTCCATCACTTTGTCACACACTATTCGACTTGTACACTTAGACACACGCGGCACTTAATGAGGCGTACCGCGCTTCCGACTCGCTATTTATACCGTTTGCGGCTTCTTTGTCAGCGTGAACGCGTCTTCCTAGAAC